CCCGCCCACCTCAGCCCCCTCCCATCCCAGGCTCATTCACAAGCCCCTTGGGCGGGCCCCCTCTTTGGCTGGCTGGGGTTTCACAAGCCTGGGGCAGGAAGATCCGGCTAAAATTAACCATTATCAGGCCGTCAGCCCTGGAAATAAACCTGCCTCCCATTGGCTGCTGGTGATGTCACTGGTGGGTTAATAATAGCCTGTGAATTCATAACCACCTGTGCTCGCCTTCCTGCGCAGGGCAGGTGGGGACTGGCATCCAGGATGGTGTCGCTGGCTCCAGAGAGCCCAGACAGGGATGGGGCAGCATGGTGGGACTGGGGAGGTGCCCTTTGGCCTCAGACTGACCCCCACCCTGGCCTTGGCCGCAGGTGGCCTTCTGGTCCCAAGCGTGAGTGATCCAGGCACTGGGGGGGGGGTGCATCCTTGTCTGCAGGGTCCTGGATGGCCAGCAGGACAGGGTCCTCCCTGCGGCCACCTCTCAGTGCGGCTGGGGGCGGGTTGGGGGCGGCCAGGTCACTCCCCCGGACCCCTGAGGCTGGGTGGGGCCCCCCAGGGGAGCAGCAGGAAGATGCCATGGCCACGGGGGGACCCAGTTTCCAGGCAGCCTGGCAGGGAGCTGTTGCCATGGCAACAGGCTCCTCCCTCCCCAAGGGCAGGCTTGCCAGGTCCAAGCAGTGGAGGCGCAGCAGGGGCCGGGAACTTCCTCTCCTCGCCACCAGGGGAGCCAGAGGCCCGAGTTCTGGCCTGGAAGGGGTGGAGGAGGTGCGGCCGGAGGGAGGGAAGCCACACTGGAGGCAGGGGTCACCGACCAGGGAGGGGAAGAGTCAGCATCTTGACAGCACGACAGGGCAGCCCCTGGGGACGGGGCAGGGGCGCTGTGCCCGCCAGAGCCCCAGAGAACCCGAGGTCAGCGTCCTCTGCCCTGTGCAGTGGGCAGCCAGGGTGGATCAGGAGCCACACCTGCCACAGCTGGGGCCAGCGTGAGACAGGGAGGACCCCACTGGCAGCAGAGAGCAGAGCCCCACACACCATGGGCACCACTGCCCCTCCCTGAGCACACCATCGTCCTGCCCTCCCCCATGGACACCACTGCCCTGCCCTGCCCCATGGACACCACTGCCCTGCCCCATGGACACCACTGCCCTCCCCCATGGACACCACTGCCCTGCCCTCCCCATGGACACCACTGCCCTGCCCTCCCCATGGACACCACCGCCCTGCCCTCCCCCATGGACACCACTGCCCTGCCCCTCCCCATGGACACCACCGCCCTGCCCCATGGACACCACCGCCCTGCCCTCCCACATGGACACCACTGCCCTGCCCCTCCCCATGGACACCACCGCCCTGCCCTGCCCCATGGACACCACTGCCCTGCCCTGCCCCATGGACACCACTGCCCTCCCCCATGGACACCACTGCCCTGCCCTCCCCCATGGACACCACCGCCCTGCCCTCCCCCATGGACACCACTGCCCTGCCCTCCCCCATGGACACCACCGCCCTGCCCTCCCCATGGACACCACTGCCCTGCCCTCCCCCATGGACACCACCGCCCTCCCCCATGGACACCACTGCCCTCCCCCATGGACACCACCGCCCTGCCCTGCCCTCCTCCATGGACACCACTGCCCTCCCCCATGGATACCACCGCCCTGCCCTCCCCCATGGACACCACTGCCCTGCCCTCCTCCATGGACACCACTGCCCTCCCCCATGGACACCACTGCCCTGCCCTCCCCCATGGACACCACTGCCCTCCCCCGTGGACACCACTGCCCTCCCCCATGGATACCACCGCCCTCCCCCGTGGACACCACTACCCTGCCCCTCCCCATAGACACCACTGCCCTGCCCCTGCCCCTGCCCTGCCCATCCCCCAGGCCTCCCTCTCCTCCACAGCGGGGCCCCCAGGTGCTGGGCGGGCAGAGACATTGCCCTGGGGGCCCAGGAGCTGCTGTGCAGGGGGCGCTCAGGCAGCGAGGGACAGCCACGGCCCCTGAGCCTCGGAGGCCGCCAGTGCCCACAGCGCTCTCCTCACCCAGCGTGACTCAGAGCCCTGCCCACCTGCCCAGAAGCGACCCCCACACCTGGAGAGGGCACCTTTGCACTTTGATGATTTGTGAAGATTTATTCATTACTTGAAAGGCAGAGTGACATAGACAAAGGTCTTCCACCCTCCGGTTCCCTCCCCAGATGGCCGCAACGGCCAGGGCAGGGCCAGGCCGAAGCCAGGACCTGAAGCTCCTTCCCGGTCTCCCCGTGGGTGCGGGGCCGGCACTGCTGCCCCCAGGCTGGGAGCAGGGAGCGGAGCGGCGGGGCTGAGCCTGCGCTCCCGCGCGGACGGCACCTCCACGCCAGCCCCGGCCTTGGCCTCTCGGAGGAGCCTGGCTTTGAGTCCACTTGGAGAAAAGCTCACGAGACACACGTGTGCTCGTGTCCAGGGCGCACTGTATTCCAAGAAGCCGGACAGCGGCCCCAGACCCCACCGAGGCCGCTCAGAGCCAGTCCCCATCACTGCCCAGGCCTGGGGCGAGGCCTCTGCCCTAGGTAGGGCTGCAGCGTGTGTGTCGCAGGGCACAGGCGTGGCGGGGCATGTGGCCTGGGCTACCTGGCCGCAGAATCACACGTGCCCGTCCGTCGCACTTCTCCGCGTTTTCTGGAATCTTTCCAGGAGCCACTGGAGCTGGTGTCGCTTCTCAGCCAGCGATGGCCGTGCGGTGTGCACTTCCTTCCTCCTGGGTTGTGGCGGCCTCCAGCACGCCTGGGTCCCTGGCATTGCTGGGTGCCCCACCCACTCACCCCACACCAGGCCCACAGGGGCCTGAACTCCTGACGGGGTACACAGGGTCCCCTGGGACACCACGGCCAGCAGCGCCACCCACAGCCTCATCACGGCTGGGATCTCCAACCACTGTGTGTGCAGGGGCTGGGCAGGGACCTCGGTGGGACGGGGACCTCGGTGGGGACAGGGGCTGGACGGGGACCTCGGTGGGGACAGGGGCTGGGCGGGGATCTCGGTGGGGCTGAGCCACAGGACAGGCGCTGGGCCTTGTGGTCCAGAAGCTGGGGCAGGTTGGGGAAGGACAGCGCCTTGGTCAGTGGCAGCCAATCCTGTGTGCTGCCAGAGCCTGTAGCACGCCCACACGGGGGCAGGGGGAGACAGTGCGGGCAGGGGCCACCCCACCCCACCCCGCCCCACCCCTCCCTGGCTGGCTGTGGCCCTCGCCACACAGATCCTGGGATGGGGACCTGTGCAGAGGGCACCTCTCGGAGTGGAGGCTGCAGCCAGATTGCCCAGGTCTGCCCCCAACGGTGAGCCAGATGGAGCCCACCATGCGGCTGGAAGCGGCCAGGGCCGAAGGGCCAAGCAAGGCTGGGGAGGACTTCTCCCTGGCCCTGACCAGGAAGGCGCCCGGTGCCCTGCCACAGCCTGCAGGCATGAGACGCAGCCCAAGGACCACCTGCTGCCCCCACGCCGACTCCCACCCCACGACACCTGCACCCACTGAGGCTACGTCACTCGTGCCCATCCCCGCCCCGAAGGCCCCTAACGAATGAGTGCTGATGCCAGGAGAGGTGGACGTGGCCGAGGCACTGCCCACCACCCTGCCCTGGGTGACCTCCGTCCGTGGCCAGAGCCCCTCCCACGTGTGGGGAACCCCAGCCCCCGACAGAGCACGGACACACTGGCTGGGGCAGGGCCTGAGCAGCAGGGCTCCTGCACACGCTCACACACACACACATACACACACGTGTGCTCATGACACTCATGTGTGCTCACACGTGTGCTCATGACACTCGCGTGTGCTCACACACAAGCACACTGCCTACACTCACACACCTGCCGGGAGGGGCCCTCGCAGGTGTCGACAGGAACAAGGTCCCTGGGGAGCTGAGGGTGTGGGAGGGGCTGGTGCTGTTGAGGGAGGAGGCACAGAGCGGGGCCTGGGGGGCACCTCCCCCCTCCCTGGAGGGCCCCATCCCCTCCCCCGCCACACACAGGCAGGCAGCAGAGTGGACGCCAGTCCTGGGAGCCGCCTGCCTGGCCAGAACCCACAGGAGGGGAGCAGGGGTGAGGCCCCGGGCAGGGAGTGCCCCAGACACCTGGGGTTGGTTTGGGAGACTTCCTGGAGGAGGAGGCCTCCCTGGCTGGGCGAGGCGTGACCCAGGGACCCTTGGCTGAAGGGACACTGCCCTCCCTGGCACGGACACGAGGGGGCGTCCAAAGACCGCAAGTGAGGCCAGGCCTCCACCCCCGCCCACAGCTCATAGCCTCTGCCCCTCCACTCGGCCCAGCGCCTCGATCCCTGCTGGGACCCCCATGGCCTCCGCTGACCCTGCCCCGTCCACCCTGGGCTGGACCAGCGGCCACAGGCAGGAGGGGCAAGGGCAAGCAGGGGCAGAACCTGGAGTTCAAGGGTGAGCTCAGCGGGGGAGATGTGGCCAAAGGCACGGCTCCTGGGGGTCTGCACAAACTCCAGGACCCTCTGGGCCGGGATTTCTGAGTTTTCACCAAAACAACTTTTAGCTCCGTTTTCCTCCACGCAGCTGGACCTTTCTGCCAAAACCAGGAATGAGGGCAGCGTCCCCGGCTTCCCCGAGGGGCTGCCCAGCAGGGCAGGTTCTGCGGCAGCCCCGGGGTGGGGCGGGCAGTGGCAGGTGCACCTGTGTGGGAGGCTCGGAGCCACACCAGGGAGCAGGAGAGGCCCTGCCCCACGGTCTCAAAGCTGCCCAGCTCCCGGCTGACGCGCCAAGGACCGCACCAGCCCACGTCACACCTGCTCCACCACCCAGCCTGCACCATCCCCCCCAGCCGTGCCCACCCCAGCCTGCACTGTCCCCCCCAGCCGTGCCCACCCCAGCCTGCACCGTCCCCCCACTCCCCCCAGGGCTGTGCCCACCCAGCCTGCACTGTCCCCCCACTCCCCCCAGGGCTGTGCACACCCAGCCTGCACCGTCCCCCTCCCCGGCCGTGCCCACCCCTGCTCTGGACTCAGGGCAGCCCCACCCTCCAGCAGTGCAGAGTGGGGATTTCAGTGCCCGGCGTGCTGGGCAAGTCCCCAGACTCACAAGGCCGGTCAAGGTCTCTCCTTCCAGGCCCAGGTGCCAGAGCCAGACCCAGGCTCCACCCACACCCCCAGCCGTGCCGTCCCTGGGGGTCAGAGCCAGCCCCGTGCCCGGACACCACCACCCAAGGCCTCCGCCATTAACACCCACCCAGCAGCCCCCGCCCGCGTCTCTGAGAAGCTCCTGCCCCCACCTCTCTCTGAAGCCCTGGCCCGCCTGCCCCTGCTCTGAGTGGGAGGGGCCTCTCCTTTGCTTAGGGGTCCCTGCTGTGCCTGCCCTTGCCAGGGTCCGAGCAGGTGGGCAATGTCTCCTGGCAATCCCCCTAAGAGCCATACCCTATGGGGCCCAGCTGCCAACCTGTGGTTCCCGAGGGGTGGGGGTCTCAGGGGACCCTGTGCAGACCCCGCCCCCATGTGGTCCCCTGGGCCCAGCCCCCGGTTTGTCTTAGGGTGTCCATCTCTGCCCCACGCAGCAGCTCCGAGCAGTGACCCCCGGGCGCTGCGCCCACACCGTCGCCCCCGCCCAGCCCTGCTCAGGGCCCTTGTTCCTCCCAGGCTGAGGAGGGCCTGGCAGGCCGCCTGCCCCCAGGGACAGTTCCGGCCACCTGATCCCGCCCAGGGGTGCTCCCAGCGCCCCCGGCTCCAGGCTCCGGGTTGGGGGCAGGGGTGTGACTGGCGACTGTGTCTGTGTCTCCACCAGTGCGCATTTATTGAGCCCTGGTGTGCACAGGTGGCTGGATGGTGCCTCCCCTGACACGTGCAGGGCACACACGTGTGGGGCCAGTGCTGCTGGGACCCGGGCACAGCGCCCCCCTGAGTCTCCACCCACCCTCTGCACAGAGTTCCAGGGCCACAGGACACACCAGCCACCTGCTCTCCGCGGTGTTAGAGCCTGCACATGAGTGTACACGCGTGTTCATGCCCGCATGTGAGGATCAGGCCACGGTGGTTTCCAGCTGTGCAGTGCCCCTGCCCCGGCCCGAAGCGACTTTGTCCTGGGCGGGGCACCTCTGCAGGCAGGAGCAGCGTCCAGGTCAGGCGAGAGCCGGGAGCAGGCGTCTGTGGACGGTGGCCAGCTGCTCCCACAGCAGGGCGAACGCGGGCCGCTCCTCGGGGCCGTCCCTCCAGCACCCCAGCATGAGCAGGTACACCTCCGCCGGGCAGGCGGCCGGGCGCGGCAGCCGGTACCCCCGCGCCAGCTGCTGCAGCGTCTCCTGGTTGGTCATCCCTGGGGAGGGCGCCCGTGAGGGGCAGGCCAGCGACTCCCAGGGTAGGGTATGCCCTCCCCTGGCTGCCCTCCCCCATCTGCCCTCCCCCCTGGCTTCCCTCCCCCTGGCTGCCCTCCCCCGTCTGCCCTCCCCCGGCTGCCCTCCCCCCATCTGCCCCCCCATCTGCCCTCCCCCAGGCTGCCCTCCCCCAGGACTGCCTGGCACCTTCGTAGGGACACTGGCCATAGGCGAACACCTCGTAGAGCAGGACACCAAAGGACCAGACGTCAGACTTCTGGGAGAAGATGCGGAAATGGGCTGCTTCGGGCGCCGTCCACTTGACGGGGATCTTGGACCCGCTGCTCGGGGAGTAGACGTCGTCCTGGGGACCGGGGGAGGGCCGGTGGGTGGGGGCGGGCAGAGCGTCGCCCCTCCCCGCTGTCCACCACCCTGGTCCCGGAGCACCTGCTGACCTTGAGCAGCCGAGCCAGGCCGAAGTCCGCCACCTTGCAGCTGAGGTCGTCACCCACCAGCACGTTCCTGGCGGCCAGGTCCCGGTGCACAACACGCTGCTGCTCTAGGTAGCTCATGCCCTCGGCCACCTGGCAGGCGAAGCCCAGCAGGAGGGGCAGGCCCAGGGCCCGGCCCTCAGGGCCTGTGGGGGCAAAGGCGCAGGGCCCGAGGGCTGCAGGGCGTGGGGCCGCCGGCTAGGGAGGCAGAGTGGGCACTGCCGTCCCACCTCCCAGCCGGCGTGAGGGCAGCTCCACCTGCTCCGGGTGGCGGCCAGTGAGCAAGTAGGATGAAGGGGCTCTGGCACCTGCCACCGGGGCCCTTGGCAGAGACCAGAGGGGGGATGGGAGCCCTGGGGCTGGGCTGGGCCCAGGGGCTGGTGACCCAGCTGGGGCACCCCCCGCACGCTGCCTGGACCCAGCCCTGGAACCCAAAGGCTCCAGCGGCTCCAGAAAAAGCCCAGGCCTGGCCCAGCCCCCAGCCCTCCTTTGGCCCACCCTGGACAAACGTCAGCAGCCAGGGCAGAGACCGCCAGGCCACATGGGGAAGGGCAGTGAGGACGGTGAGGCCCGGCATTGGGGGTGGACACTCACTGGCCAGGAGGGCCTGCAGGCTGCCCCTGCTCATGAGCTCGGTGACGATGAAGACGGGCTCCCCGCTGCACACGGCCAGCAGCCGGATGAGCCGCTCGTGCCGCAGGCCCTTGAGCACCTCCATCTCCTTGGCCAGGTCGGTCAGCTTCATGGCTGCTGCAGGAGACCAGGCCGCTCCAGGACCACCCAGGGCATCCGAGGGGCCCTGGGGAGGGGCGGGGCCTCACCTGCCTTGACGACCTTGACCGCCACGGGCGCGGAGCCCAGCCACAGGCCTTCCCACACCTCCCCAAAGCAGCCTTCACCCAGCTTCCGCCGCAGAGCGAACTCCCAGCGAGGCCGCTCCCACGGGTCCTGCCGCTCGGGCCCCTGCAGAGAGGGGCGCTCAGTGCCCGCCTGGGGTGGGGCAGGGCAAAGGGGGGCGGGGCCCAGAGCTGCAGGGGCCCGTGCTGTGCTCGCCCAGCCCATGTCCACAAACACTCATTACTGTCCCAGGGGACGTCATTATGAGACCGGAGTGACAGGTCCCCGCTTCACTTCTAGGCTCCTCCCTGCCGGCCGGCTCCCAGCTCCTGGGGCAGCCTGCAGGTGGCAGGGGTGCGGGGGCCTACCTGGGGCAGGCAGGGCTGCAGCAGGGGGTTGTGGATCAGCCTCCAGTTGGCCTTGTAGTAGCTGAGCAGGGCCTCCAGGCTGGGGAAGAGCCGGCCCTCCTGCAGGTAGAGGCCCCCGGGCACACGGCCGATGCGGTAGTGGCAGACTCTGGCCTTGGCCCGGACTGGGGCGGGGGGAAGGAGGGGGCCTCAGCTGCAGCCTGGCCCAGACCCCACCCCACCCCAACCTGACGGCAGCCATGGCCCTCCCCAGGGAACTGGCCCAGATCTGGCCTTGGGGACACTGAGGTGGTCAGCCCTGGGGCTGGGGGCGAGAAGAGCCCCACGTGGCTTTCCTGCTGCCCATGTGCATACAGTAGGCGCTTACTAGCCGCTCGTGGGAGGAATGAGCCCCTGACCCCATGCACGAGCGAATGGATGAGCAAGTGGGAATGCAGGCAGCGGGCAGCTGCGCAGGGCTGGGGCTGGCGTGCCCGGGTCAGTGTCGTGTGGCCGGTGGGGCTGGGCACCTGACAGTGAGTAGCCGCCGAGGCTGCTCTCGCTGGGTCTGATGAGGAAGGCCCCGGGCGCGTTGGCAGGGGACAGCAGCAGCTGCTGGGCCTGGGTCCGGGTGATCCCACGGAAGAACCAGCTGCAAGGGCAGGAACCGGCTCACCTCACGGCGCAGCCCACGCAGGCGGAGCCCCAGCTGCCGCCTCCCCGTTCCCACCCCACGCTCCTTGCTCAGCCCCAGGAAGCTGGGTGAAGGCTGCTTTGCGGAGGTGTGGGAAGGCCTGCGGCTGGGCTCTCAGGGCTGCAGGGCAGGACCAGGGCTGCTGCGCTCTGCCCGTGAGGCTGACCACTCACCTCGGCCACAGTGTGCAGGGACCTCCACCTCCCTGCTCATCACGTGATCACAGCCCTGGCCACAGGCTGGACCCTCCAAGCGTGAGCCCTGTGGGAGGTCCACAGGGAACTGGGGACCTGGACAAGCTGCCCCCAGAGCTGCTGGGCTGCCGATGCGGCTGTGCAGGGCCATGGGTACCCCCTGAGTGGGCACGGCCCTCTCTCCTTGAGAGGCCAGCTGGAGAGAGTGGCACAAGCAGGTCCTGGACCTGGGGTGGCCAGGGAGGGGCACAGGGGGGTGAACCGGGCAGGGGCAGTGCTGGGCATTGGCGGATCGAGTCGGGGGACATCCAGGACACAGACAGAGCCTGGACTGGATCACCCAGTGGCCATGGGGCCCCCTGAGACAAGACTGCCCAGCTCTGTCCACTGCAGCCGGGGTCCACCAGCAGGGAGAGGGGGTCTACTCGGGGCTCCCTTCCCAGGGTGCCGGGACCCTGGCGGATGCAGGCTGGGCCCCGGGCACATCCTGCATGGTGGGGGATGTGGCTGGGTCTCCCCTGGGGCGTGGGGTGCTAATGACACCGGAATGGCGCCAGCCCTTTCATCTCCAGGCCCAGGCAAACAGTCATTAGCTCTGGGAGCAGCAGCCCTGCCCTGTCCTTCCCAGTGGCCTCCGACGAGCTGCTCACCGAGGTCACCTCCGGTGCCCCCTCCCCTCAGAGTGGCGGCTCAGCACCCCACTAGGGAGAGCGAGGGGGCAGGCGTTGGGTAAGGGCCCCCGGCAGGCTGTGTCGGAGCAGGGGGTGCCCCCAGGAGGGGGCCCTGAGCAGGCTGAGACCCGATGCTCGACTGAGGGCGGCAGGCCTGGGGCTCAGGCCTGGCTGGACGCCAAGAGCCAGGGCGGCTGCCCTCACCACTGTCTTCCAGCCGGCCCAGCCCCGCGTGCTGGTGCCGGGCGAGGCGTCTGTGCCCCAGGGAGGCCCCCAGGTGCCGGGTCATCACCAGAGGGGCTGGCACGGAGGGGAGAGGCGGGGCGGGCTCTGCAGTGGGCGCCCGAGGTCCCTGTGCCGTGTCCACCACCCTGCAGGCTGTGCCGGAAGCTGGCACACCTGCCATGCTGCAGACTGTCTGAACCAAGGGGTCACCTCCTCCAAGGAGCCGCCCGGGAGAGCGCAGGCCCTCCCTCTGCAAACAGCCAGGTACCCGTCCTGGCCCCAGCCCCAGGGCTCCTGGGAGCCGTCAGGGGACAGTGACACTCCCCCCTCACCTGTGCCTGCTCCACACACGGAGCAGCCTTGCAGGCCAGGGCTGCATCCGCCCCACAGCTGGACCCAGCTCAGGTGCTCAGCAAAGCGTGGACAGGTGAACCCACGGCTCGCCTGGCTTCTCCGTCCCACGCTGCGGGAGCCTGAGCCTCTCCTCCCCCCTGCGGCCCCCAGCCTCTCCCTCCAGCGACTCTCAGGGGACACCTGACTGGATCCCCGGCTGGGGTCATCAAGGCTGGGCGCCCGGCCTGCGGTGCTGCCTGCCACGCCTGTCCCAGATCCGCACCTGTCTGCGGGAAAGAACGAAGCAACCGAGGAACGAACCAGCCGCTCCCCAGCCCTGGACTCGCTACTCACGGTTGGTCCGAATGCAGCTCCGGGGCGGCCGCGGCACCCTGGGCGAGGGGCACTGGCCCAGAGCCGGGCTGGCCCGAGAGCCTGGGGGCCGGGACGTAGTCGCCGTCCTGGCGGGGCGCGCAGGGCCGGCCCCCGCGGCCGTCGTTCAGCTCCGCGGCGCTGCGCGCTGGGGACTCGGGAGTCGCACGCGGCGCCGGCTCAGCGGCAGGGGGCTCGGGCGTGAGCCCCGCGCCCTCGTCCGGCTCGCTCGCCGGCCAGATCTTGTCCCAGAAGGAGGACAGGAAGGCCAGCCGCTTCCTGAGGAAGGGCTCCATGCGGCCGGGGCGCAGCGGGCCGCGCCGGGGACCGGGTCCGTGGGCGGTCTGGGATTCGGACGGTCCCCCGAGGGCCGAGACACCGGATGGGCCGGTCGGACGCGGGGCAGCGAGGCGCACAGCCGGAGCAGTGTCTGGCCCTCAGCCTCGGGCCGCAGGGACAGCCTCCTCTCCAAGATCCGCACTGCGCGCCCGGGAGCGGGAGTGGGGTCTCCTGCCCTGACCCGGACCCAGGCCGAGGGCTCTCGAGGGAGGGGCCCAGGGGCGGGGCCTGGGAGGGCAGGGGGCGGGGCTGGGGCGGGGTCGCCGCGCTCTCCTCCCCCGCCCAGCTGCGGGCCCCACCGACTGCAGTCTGCTTGGCCGTGAGCTGGATGACGCGACAAAAGCGCCTCTTTATTTTAAGTTTGCATTCATTCACTTATTTGAGAGTAGAGTTCCTCCTCCCCCACGGGTTCATTTCCCAAATGCCCCCAAGGACCGGGGCTGGGCACGGTTGGAGGCCAGGGGCAGTCTCCCCCTGCCTGCCTGCCAGAGCCATCGCGGAGGCTTTGCAGGGTGTGCGTCGGCAGGACGCTGGAAGCGGCAGCAGAGCCGGGGCGCACACCCAGGCCCGGGACCGGGCGAGGGCATCCCAAGCGGCCCCAGGACCATCTGAATGGCGGCCAAATCTCGCTCATCAGACTCCTGTGCAGGGCAGAGGGCAGACCCCCGCCCGGCAGAGGCACGTGGCACGCAGGGGCTCAGCAGAGGCGGCTCCTAGGCAACCCAGACCGGTGCTCCGGGGACGATGCAAAGTGCCCTCTGGGCCGCTCCGGGCCAGGAGATGCCCAGTGGCCAGTGCAGAGAGGCGCGGCTCTGGACTGCCGGCCTCCCAGCTCCAGGCAGGCTGAGGGCTGTGGAGCATCCTACTGGGCGTGGAGTTCAGGCAGAGAGGGGAGAACCACGGGAGGGGAGGCCACCAGCCAGCGTGGGTTCTGCATGCAGCTGTAGCCTTGACTGCCCCCCAGCCCTGGGAAGCCGGCCATCCGGAGTGGGCACTCCCAGTGCTGACTGCAGTGGGGTCAGGCCCTCGAGGTCCCAGGGACTCAGCACCATCTGCAGCTGGAGCCCAGGCCAGCCCTGAGCCACCCTCCCTGCCCCACACCTGTCCCCAAGTCTCCCGAGAACATGGGGACCTGGCATGGTGGACGTCCAGCCTTGCCCGTAGCCAAGGCCCCATGGTGGGGGTGGGAGTTCCCTCCTCCTGAGATGCAGCAGCGAGGCTCTGTCCCCGCCCCCCCCCACCAGAGTCGGACAGGGATGCTTTCCCGTAGGAAACCAGGCCAGGCAGTCGCCATGCATCTGGGCGTCCAGGCTGGGGCTGCTCCACTTTACTCCCTGCCAACACCAGGGAAGGCAGCGAGAATGACCCATGGGCCCTGCCACCCACATGGGAGACCTGGATGGAGTTCCTGGCTCCTGGCTTTGGCCTGGGAAGTGAATCAGCGGATGGAAAACCTAGCTGCGCCCCCACCACCCCCACACACCCTGACTCTCCTATTAATTAATTTCTAATTAATTAATCTTTCTAAAACAATGTCTCCTGAAAAACCACTTGGGGGCCCCAGAGTCCCCCACCCCAAGGAGGGAGGCCTGGAGCGATGGGGTCGGGCCTCCTGCCGGACTGCCCAGCAGCACCCCCCAGCCCCTCCTCAGCCCTTCCCCCACCCAGCACCTGCAGTCCCCCCCGCGCCCCAGATGAAGGCCCCACTGCCCTGTGCCTCCAGCTGGGCTCCACCTGCCTCACCTCCTCCTGCGATGCTGCGGAGACACGGAGACACCGAGACACCGCAGCCTCAGCCCCACGGCGGCCCAACCACTGAGACAGCCCCGGCGGGGACGCAGAGGCACCGGCCGGCGGCCCCGGCTGGGAACCCACCCCTGACCGTGGGCCTTTCTGCAGCTTGTCTCCCCGGCTTCCACAGAGCCTGCAGCGCCCGGAGGACACCAGGGACCCAGCGCTTTGAGGAGGGGGCTTCCTGGGTATGAGGCTGAGGCTGGCAACCGTGCTCCGGGGTTCTGGGGAGTCAGACACAGAGGAGGGGGCTGTGGGACCAGGGAGGAGGTCAGGTCTGCCAGCCCCTTCCCCGTGGGCTGCAGCTTGGAGTGGGGTCTCCCCCCACCCAGGCCCAGGAGTGGGCGTGATCTACCGAGCCCTTCTGAGTGCCCAGGCTGGGTGGCGGACAAGGGGCAGTCACACACCCCCAGCCCCGCTTTCAGGGCCTGCTCTGGTTTGGGGGTGGGGTACAGGCCTACAGGGGTCCACTCTGGGAGCCCCCTCCCAAGGCTGGGATCACAGTCAGGAATGGGGGAGGAAAGGAGGGAGTCGAGCCACTTAGCTCTCGGCAGGGGAGGCCGCGGGTGGGAAGGGGCTCCCTGCTCCTCCTTCCTGGCAAGGTGGCTGAGGCGGACGGCTGGGCGCAGACCCCGAGCTGGGCACTCCGGAGGTCCCGAGCGCGCTCGTACACACGCATGGGACACAAGGGCCCGAGGACCCCTCGGAGGAGCCCCTGCAGAGCGGGCCCTCCCGCCAGGTCACCCCGGCCCCCGAGGGTTCGCAGGTCGCTCCCTCCCCAAGTCCGTCGAGGTCGCACGAGTGGGCGTTGAGCGGAAGCCCCTGCCCCTAACCCGGGGGCGTAGGGGAAGCGCGGTGCGCAGACGGACGCCCAAGGAGGTCTCCGCCCAAAGGGGTTCTCCGCCCAAGGGGCCGCCAGCCTCGGCTGGCTCAGCCCGGCTTTCGGACCCGCGGCCTCGGGCCTCGGGCCTCCTAGGAAGGGCGCGGACCCGACCCCGCGCTCCCTAGCGACGGAAGCGAAGACCCTGAGTCCAGCCGTCCCGTGGAGCCGGTGGGCGGGTTCTGCGCCCTGCGCAGTCCGCGCTCCGCCCCTCAGGTCCCTGGCTTCCCCCGACCCTCCGCGGCGGGGTCTCCCGGCACCCCGCCCCCCCACCTGGCCGGGCGGGGCGTCACAAGGGCCCGCGGTTTCTTGGCAACCCACTGGCCGGCAGGCGCGAGACTGGGTCCCCCCCTCGCGCACTGGGCAAGTGGCTGAGCAGCTGGGCTTCGCGACGCAGGGCAAGTGGGCTCAGCCTGGACGGCGCTGGGACGGCAGAGGAGGCGGCGGCGGGGGCGGGGGGGGGCGGTTAGGTGGGCGGGAGGAGGGTGAGGGTGGGGTCCGCCGAGAGGCCTGGGGAGGGGGCGCTCCCAGCAGCCTTGCCCCCGTTCACTGCCAGCCCAGGTTCTCTTCCGCGGAGGGAAACGTCTAGGGTGGACTCAGGCCTGGGCGCTGGGTTCTGGCTTCAGCTTGTCCTCCACCCCGAGATGCCCCCTGTGGTCCCGGCAGCCTGTTCTAGACCCTTGCCCCAGAAAGGTCACAGCCAACAGGGGGCGGGCACTGCTCCCCCCCACCAGCACCTGTGTGGCCTGGGCGAGCTCCTGGGGCTCGGTCTCTCCCTTGTAACCCGCCCAACCAGCCAGGGGTCACAGCCTGAGGTTCCCCACCCCGGAAGCCCATGGCCCTGCTCAGGGGGCTGCTTCAGCCCTGGGGCCCCGGGCCCAGGGTGGCACCTGGATGCTGGGCTGCAGGGCCAGCCCCGCACTGGGCCAGGGACCACAGCTGCACCGGCCTCTCCCACTGACTCCCAGGGCTGGCACCCTGGGCCTGGGGACAGGGAAGAGGGGGCAGACTGTGGGGCTGGGCGTGGTGGCTGGGTTCCAACCCTGGACAAGAGCAAGCCACCAAGCGATTTAGCCTCAGGCCCCCATCTGTGAGATGAGGGATGGGTCTGCCCCTTGTGGGACCTTCGGTCACTGGACCCCAGCACCCCGAGAGCAGCAAGCCTGAGTATTCTCAGAGTGGGGGCCTGGACTCCTGCTCCTGCACCCGCCCCCCCTGCCTCTGGCGGAGCCCTTGTCCCTCTGCACTGTAAGCGGTGAGGCGTGGGGGTGCCCAGGGAGAACCCGTGGGGAGGGTGTTCCCCAGGTGCCCCCCCGGGGGTCCATGCTTCTCGGGACCAAGGCTGACGCTACCTTGCCTCAGACCAGGGCCTCACGGCTGGGCGGCAGCCATTGCAGCATCCACAGCCCACTCTGAGCCCCACGTCGTCCCCACGGGAGACAGCCGGCCCCTCGGCACGCGCTGTCGTCCAGCCCTGCGTCTGGCTGCTGGGTCCGCCAGGCAGCCCTCCCCAGACCGGCGTGGGGGACAGAAGTCCGAGTCGAGGGGTGCGGGCCCAGAGCCACCCCCTCGCTCGCTGAGGCCACCCGTGTGCGCGGCCTGGTGGCAGCTCACCTGCGGCCCTCTGCCCCCTCCCCCAGCTCCCAGCCATGAACTTCCAGGTGAGGGGCCTGGGCCTGGACAAGATGAAGCTGGACAGCCCGCAGTCCTGCCTGGACCAGGAGGAGGTGGAGGAGGCGGAGGAGGCCGAGGACCAGCAGCTGCTGGAGCCCGAGGCCTGGAGGACCTACGTGGAACGCCGCAACGCCCTGCGGGAGTTCCTGGCCTCGGACCTGAGCCCCCACCTGCTGAAGCGCCACCACGCGCGCGTGCAGCTGCTCCGGAAGTGCTCCTACTACATCGAGGTCCTCCCCAAGCACCTGGCCCTGGGCGACCAGAACCCGCTGGTGCTGCCCAGCGCCATGTTCCAGCTCATCGACCCCTGGAAGTTCCAGCGCATGAAGAAGGTGGGGACGGCGCAGACCAAGATCCAGCTGCTGCTGCTTGGCGACCTGCTGGAGCAGCTGGACCGCGGCCGCGCCGTGCTGGACGCCCTGCTGGAGTCGCCCGACCCGCGGCCCTTCCTGGCCGGCTGGGCGCTGGTGGAGCAGCGGCTGACGGACCTGTCGGCCACCATGGACAGCTTCCTGGCCATCATGGTGCCCGGGCGCCTGCACATTAAGCACCGCCTGGTGTCCGACATCGGGGCCACCAAGATCCCCCACATCCGGCTCATGCTGAGCACCAAGACGCCGGTCATGTTCGACCGCAAGGAGTCGGTGGCCCACCAGGACTGGGCCAGCCTGCGCTGGTTCGTCACCCTGCAGCCCGCGGCGCCCGAGCAGTTCGAGCTGCGCTTCAAGCTGCTGGAGCCGCGGACGCAGCAGGAGCGCACGCACGGCGGCGTGATCCCCGTGGCCGCCTGCGCCTTCGCCGTCCGCAACCTGCTGCCCAGCCGCTCCTACAGGTTCACCATCAAGAGGGCCGAGAGCTACACGCTGGTGTACGAGCCCTGGCGGGACAGCCTCACCCTGCACACCAAGCCGGGCCCCCAGTCGGCCGGGTGAGCCGCACCCTCCACAGATGATTTTCTAGTATTTATGCACTAATAAAGACGCGTATGAATGCAGAGAGCCTGGGGGCCGAACCCCCACCAGGGCGGAGGGCGGCCTCGGCCCGATCCGCGCTTCTGCCTCCCCGTCCCTCCACCGGAACCGGAACCAGAACCGAGCCCTGGCCGTCCTCCTTCCTTCCTTCCTTTTTTGAATTTGAGAGACAGACAGATCTCTCCCACCCGTCGACTTGCTCCCTGAATGCCCACAACAGCCAGGGCTGCACCAGGCGAGAGCTGGGAACCAGATACCTGGCAGGAACCCACGTCCCTGAGCTGCTGCCCCCGCTGCCCCCACTGCCCACAGCCCCCACTGCCCCCGGCCCTCACCGCCCCCCACTGCCCACAGTCCCCACTGCCCACCACCCCTCAATGCCCCCCACTGCCCACCACTGCCCCCCATTGCCCACAGCCCCCACTGCCCACCGCCCCTCACTGCCCCCCACTGCCCGTAGCCCTCACTGCCCCCCACTGCCCCCCATTGCCCACAACCCCCACTGCCCATAGCCCTCACTGCCCCCCATTGCCCACAGCCCCCACTGCCCACCACCCCTCACTGCCCCCCACTGCCCACAGCCCCCACTGCCCCAGCCCCCTCCCCCCCGGCAGACGTCAGCACACCCGGAAGGGAGTGGAGCTCTGTAACAGGTCTGTGCCTGGTCTTGCGCGCTGTGAGAAGACTGTGATTTGTAAAAGCTGCCAGCATCAGACAGGCCCGCCTCCTGGCTCTGACAACTGGACCTGGGAGGGGATCTGCTCCTCTGGTCAGTGGTGGGGGCGGGGCAGGTGCCCTGGCAGTCTGCCTGCCCGGGCCATCTGTCCCACGGCTCAGGGCCAATGGCTGGGACTGGCAGAAGCAGAGCTGTCTCTTTGAGGGAGGCCCCTGGCCACCGGCTGGACTGTGGCCCTTCCCAGCAGCAGACACCGGCTCCAGGAGTGCCCTGAGCCCTGGGGGTTCCCTTGCTGCCCCCACACTTCCCAGCAACAGGCACCCTGAGAGCCCCCGTCACCAGCCATCCTGGGAGAAGCCACATGGAGGAATCTGTGCACCTGCCCCTGGCCGCCAGCAGCGGGAGAGGAGGTGCTCAGATGTGAGGGGCGGGAGCCAGAGCCCCTCCTTCACCCTCCCCCAGCCCTGAGCCCACACCCCCGGAGCCTGGCTGTATTCCCTCAGGATCCACAAGGCCTGGAAGATTCCTGAGCCTGCTCAGTCCCCACTGGTCCCGGCTGCGGCCAGCGCGCGTGGACGGGGCTCAGCAGCCGGCAGCAACACCTGCACCCTGGGCTCTGCCCCGGCGCACCAGGAGCTTGCTCTGCGGCCTGTGTCCTTCCAGGGTGTGGGGATGGCCCAAGGCCTTCTGGGAGCCGGTGAGGGGTGCCTGTCGCGGCAATGGAGCCGCCATCCAGTCGTGGTCTCGGTGTAGGTGGCCAGCTGGACCTGCCTCCCTGGAGGGGGCTTTGTGCCGGGAGTGGGGCAGGTGCAACGCTGGGGGCAGCTTCGAGCTGGCGGCTGCTGGGTGCCGTGACCAGGAACTCAGCCACAGCGCCCAGCACAGTCCCTGTCCAGCTCGTGGACAGGCACTGGGGGCCCTGGATCTCCTCGGCTGCCTCCCATAGGACAACGGGGGGTCCAAGCAGACCACGGAAGACACGAGGTGCAGGCAGACCGCGCACTGCCCTTCGACGTGGAGACCAAGAGGCAGATGGCGAGGCACGTCCAGCGCACGGCGCCCTGTAGGCAGGACTCCACGTCCAGTGCCCCACTGCTGGCTAGAAGCTGGCCACGTCAGCCTCCCGCACGGTCCCCTCACACCAGAGAGCACCCTGGGGGTCCACAGTGCAGGCCAGGATGCTGTGCAGTGCCCTCTGTGGCCAGCGGCCGGCAAGCCCCTCACACTGTCTGCAGTGCTCAGCCATGAAGGCTGGGTCCGCACTGCAGGACAAGGACCCAGAGGCCCTGCTCCCAGCCCGTGGCCTCGGCAGGTGGCTCCAAGGTGATGGCCAGCAGGCAGCAGAGGGGCTCACACCTCTGCAGGAAGCCCACCCCGAAGGGCGGGAGTGCGGGTGCTTCAGCCCAGTGTGACCAAGCTGCTGACCGGGACAAGGACAAGAGGGTCGCACTCTTGCGGCCCTGCAGTGGCCCCCATTTAAAAAAGTGAATATTCAAAAGAGGGCGGGGTTTGGGGTGGGGCGTGGGGCTATTTCCACGCCCTTTGTAGGAGATGGGAGGTGCTACCGTATCAGGAGCAGGGTGGGAGTGGGCGTGCCCCATGGTAATTTTATTATAATGACCTAAAGCACTTGGGAGGGGACACATCCTGCAGCCATGCTGAGGGCTTCCAGCCAGCAAGGGTGCCAAGTTCCCACCACTGAGGGACAGGGAGCGGGGCCACCTGGAGGGGCGGGGCTCCACAGCACACTGAAAGGGGAGGGAGCTGCCAGACCTCAGCTCCTGTCCCTCTCTGCCCACAACAGTGACCACAGCCACAGCTCGATCTGTGGCAAATTTGCTGTGGCCTGAGCCCAGAGAAGTGAAAATGCTTCTTTGTTCTTTTTTTTTTTTTTTTAAGATTTATTTCCTTGCAAGGCTGTTACAAAGAGGGAGAGAGAGAAAGGGAGAGATCTGGTTCACTTCCCAGAGAACAGCCACAGGCCATGTCTCCCCCGTGGGCGGCAGGGCCCCAGTACGGAGCCCCTTCCCAGGTGCACTGGCAGGAGGCTGCGTCGCAAGTGCAGCAGCCGGGACTTGCTGGCGTCACAGGCAGCGGCTTAACCCGTGGCTCCCCATGCGCCGGCCCCCCAAAACGCATCTTCCTGGGTGACGAGCCTGACTGGGGGGGCGGCCTCACACAGACCACCTGCAGGCTCACAGGGCCACACAGTGGAAACTCGGGACGCCATCCCCAGGGGCAGACGGACAAACCCTGGGGCATCGGGGAAGAACCAGACATGAGTGACACACACCAGGCTGCAGGGTGCCAGCCACCTGCCCAGTGAGAGCGGCCGGGTGCGAGCACCGGACAGGACAGAGCAGCCATTGCGAAGCCCGGGCCGGCAGCTGCAAGGGGCCCCCGCTCTGAGAGCCACCCTGCGGCCCCTGGCCTGCCCCGGCCTGCCCCGGCCTGCGGCTCAGCAGGCTCCATGAACCTGGCAGAAACAGTTGTCAAGAACAGAGGAAGGGGCGGGGTCATGGCACGGCCCCTGTGCAAGTCCCAGCTGCTCCCCTTCAGTCCAGCTTCCTGCTAACGCACCCGGGAAGCCGCGGCCCACACCCGAGGGGCCGGGTCTGCCTGTGGAGCTGAGCTCAGGGGAGGGAGACGTGGCCAGCTCCACCCCGAGTTCCCGGCCCTCCCTGGAGATGGCCCCAGCCCTCAGTGGGTGCTGCTGGCCGAGCCGCTGGTCAAGCAGGCACAAGGCTGCTCGCGGTCGACTCCTGCCCTGCAGCAGTGTGCACACACCCTCCACCACACCCCCAGACCCTGGCCTCGCACCCCGACCTGGAGCATCTGTCCTCCAACACCGAGCAACCCTCAGCACCAGGTCATCTTAGCAACCCCAGCGCACGGGCGGCCACGTCACAGCAGCCACGTCCACCTGACCTCCTCCAGCCACGTCACAGCAGCCACGTCCACCTGACCTCCTCCAGCCACGTCACAGCAACCCCAGCGCACAGGCAGCCACGTCCACCCGTCCACCTGCAACGTCACAGCGGCCTGAAAGCACAGCCACGACCCACCTGGCGCACCCAGCCATCACCATACGCTCAGGAGGGAACAAGGAACCAAAGGGCCCGGCCCTGGACCTCGCTGCCCTGGAGACGTGCGGGCACTGCCCACTGCGGGTTTTAGTCTGATGGATTCCCTTCACCACCAGTCATCATGAGCAGGAAGTTATGAAAAATGTGTTTATTTTAAATCAAAGTACCAAGCAGATACTTGCAAACACCGTACAGAGCAGAGCTCCCACGCCACGCCCAGGGTGCCCGTGACAGGCACGGACACACTCTCCCCTCTGTGCCAAGACCAAACCCAACCCCACGTCCTCAGAAAGCCAGGAACGGCGGCCAGGCAGGGGGTGGGGGCGCTGGCCACCCTAGCCTTCCTGTCTCTCCAGTCCCTCCTCCAGCAGGGGCTCCAAGCACCTGCCAGGAACGGCTCGCAGGCCGGGGACGCCCCACGTGGGTCGGCACTGCCCCTGAAGCTGCCTTGTGGCTGTTCTGTATGGCTCTGAGATGGACTTCATCTCTCAGTGGACAAAAGGGGCAAGGGCAGGAAGGAACCCAACCTTGCTCCTAAAAAGAAAGAAAACAGACCCTGGCCACGGCAGTCCGGCTGCAGGCTGCAGGCTGCAGGCCCCTGGCTCCCAGCTCGGACGCGGTTCACTGTGGTCTGAGCTGGGGGCAGGGACTGCCGGCAGTACCACCTGCCATTCACCGCCCTCTGGGTGCCCACAGGGCCACACGGCTGCATGTAACAGGACTCACAACTCGAGTAAAAACGAGTGTAAAAAAGGAGTATGCATACAAACAGGTAAACAGCACGCTGGGCCGGGCGGCTCCGGCCGCGCGAGCACTGACCTACCAGAGGGAAGGGGGGCAGGGCCTGCGGCCGGACTCCAGAACAGGGCGAGCACGCGGCGCGCAAGGTGCAAGCACGGCTGCTCAGCCAGGTCCCCTCAAGGCAGCAAAGTGGGGCTGCAGCCCCTAAGGAGAAACAGGGCCAGCGGGAGCGCCCAGGACACACCCTGAGCTCCTGCTCCTGGAAGCCTGGCCCCGGGGCTTGGGCCTGGAGGGCACCCCTGCCCAGCCTGGTCTTCCTCCTGAGTCCAAACCAGATCCACAAGCAGCCCAGGACAGCCCCTCAAGGCCAGGTCCCAGGAGCCCCCTCGCCAGCCCTGACCTGCTGTCCCCCCCACCCCGAGCAGCTCCCAAACCCCAGGGCTCCCTCAGGACAGGGAGCTGGGCAGGGCTCAGGGCACTGAGGGCTGCCCTCCAGAGCGGCTCCGTCCTCCTGACATGCCCCACCCAGAGCTCAGACTCCTGGGGGGCAGCTGCGGGCAGGGTGCCGCCCAGGCCGCCCTGCACCTGGACAAGTGCATGCATCGGCGCCGCAGGCCTCCTCCCAGAGCCAACTGGGGAAGCCGAGGCACTCGGCACTGTTTGGTTGAAAATGCTGTAAACCTGACTCTTTCTGGAAGCCTACTGAGCAGCTCCCTCAACGCCACCGCGGGACACGCGCGGCCTCGGTCCCCTGAGCACCCGGGCCTGCGCCCCAGCCCCAGCACACGCTCCCACGAGGGCGGAGAACGGGGCGCAGCCACACTAACCCTACAGAAAACTGTGGGAAGAAGCCAAATCCATAGGATCCATGGGTTTCCACACTTGGGTACGGTCCCCAAGACGTGTGTAGTAACGTCCCCCAGGCTCTGACCCCAGGGGCCGGGCGGGGGCGGGGGCGCAGGCACCAGGGCCGCACCAGCACCGGCTCCTGCTCGTCGTCCTCCAGCGGCTCCCAGGGAAGGCCCAGCGTGAGCAACAGGGGGACAGCACATTTCCCAAGAGCAGGGGGAGGGAGGTTCAGGTCTGGAGGCCCGCGGTCCCCGCTGCGCCGCCCCTGCCGCGCCGCCCCTGCCTCTTTGCTCTTCTCTGCCGCGTTCTGGCGATTTCTCTCTTTGGTTCAGCCCACGTGACCCACCGTCCGTCTGTGGCCTGAGGAGAGGCAGCCAGCTCTGTTGCCCAAGGGCCCCGCCCTCCCGCCGGCTACTTCTGCTCATGGTCCTCTGCCACAGCGGCCACCTCAATGGTAGCTGTGTGCTCCTCGGGCCCTGGGGCGGCCCCCGTGGGCACTGTCACGATCGTGCTGCCCCCAGGTGAGGCCTGGGCCACGTTCTGCAGGGTGGGGCCGAGGCCAGGCAGCGTGAGCAGCTGCAGCGGGCTGACCACCTTCAGCACCGTGCTGCCGTCCTGCATGGCCGCCGTGCTCAGCACGGTGAGGCTGGAGGCGTCCGGGTGGATCTCCACGGTGCTGGGGAAGGTGGGGCCCGAGGAGGCCAGGACCGTGTATCCGCCCAGGAGCGGGGAGGCTGGGGAGCTGGCAGGGGGCGCCTGGGAGGAGCCTTTGCCCAGGACAGCAGGCGGCAGGGTGGACACCACTTTGCCAAGCGGCACGCTGGTCAGCTGGGACACGGGCACGCCTGTGCCAAGTGCGATCTGTGCGGACTGAGTGAGCACCTGCGAGGCCATGGCGGCCGGGCCAGATGTGGCCCGTGCGAGCCGGGGCCGCTTCATGGGGGGCGGCAGGGACACGGGGGTCAGCGTCATGAGCACGTTGCTGAGGTGCTGCGACTTGTGCTTGAGCTCCCGGGCGCGGCGGCGGTGCTCGTCACACTGCTGCTCCAGGGCTGCAGAGGGGACAGGGACAGTGGTCACCACGGGCACAGGGACACGGGGTCACCACGGGCACAGGGACACGGGTCACCACGGGCACAGGGACACGGGGTCACCACGGGCACAGGGACACGGGTCACCACGGGCACAGGGACACGGGGTCACCACGGGCACAGGGACACGGGTCACCACGGGGACACGGGGTCACCACGGGCACAGGGACACGGGTCACCACGGGCACAGGGACAGGGGGTCACTATGGGCACAGGGACACGGGTCACCACGGGGACACGGGGTCACCACGGGCACAGGGACGTGCACCATCACCAGGCAGCTGTGAGCTGTGGCTGCCACGTGAGCTGCCCCCCCCCGACAAGCCGTGACCGTGCTGCGGCAGAGGTCACACAGGAGCGCCCACCCACCCGCCCCAGCCTGACTGCGGCGAGGGCGCCACGCGGGGGCTGCACGGGGCCAGGGCCGCTCTTCCCGCTCCCCCGACCGCGCGCACCTGCCAGGTCGCGGGCGTACTGCTCCCGGGAGCGGTCCATCTGGCACTTGTGGCTGGCCAGGACCTTCTTCACCAGGTCCAGCATGCCGAAGTTCTGCACGATGTTGTTGAGCAGCACGGCGTCTGCGAGGCAGCGCACGGTGAGGAGAGCCCCCGGCTGGCCCCCGGGCCGCGCCCCAGGCTGGGCCAGCTCCCCGGCTCTGGCTCAGCAGAAGCCTGAGGAGCTGGCCCGCAGCCGCGCCCCGGTGCAGGCCCCTCACCTCGGAGCTGCAGGGGGGGGTCCTGGACGCGCTGCTGCAGGCCCTTCATGGTCTCCACCAGCTCCTGGTGGAACTCCTGGATGACCTCGTCCAGCAGGCCCGCGTCCTTCAGCCCCCGCCAGAAGGCAAACGTGTCGTCTGGGGACAGGGCGGGGCACAGTGCGTCAGCGCACAGCCCGGCCACCGTGGGGCGCCTGCCGAGCCCGGTCACAGACAGAGCCTGACCACAGAGACGGCTTCCAGCCCACAGGGGCCACCTGGAACCTGGGAGCTCTGCGGGGGCTGTGGCAGGTGCTGGCCCGCTGCCCAGCCTCCACACTCAGCGCCCACAGGGCCGTACCTGCCATGGCCGTGGTCCAGTCCCCAGGGTCCTCACAGGTCTCTATGGTGATGGTAGCAGGGGAGCCGTTCACTGCAACCAAAACACAACGGCGGTGAGCGCTGCCCGAGGCCTCGTGGCCGCCGCCTGCTGACGCTCGCTCTGGATCCCCTCGCAGTGGGCGCGGAGCTCCCGAGGGTTCATGCGGTCTCCAAAGCACCCTCGGCCCAGGGCCTGTCGGGGCAGCTGTGTCAACGAGCCCTGTGGTTCGCCGTGGCCGCCTCTGACCCACGGTCCTCGTGACCCGACTGCTAATGGAGGTTCAGAGATGGCTCCGCAAACATGGGGCTCCTCCTGGGCCTGCCCCACCCCCACATCCTAAACCACCAGGAGAGCACGCACGGCCTGCTCTGCTCGTCCCTGGAGTCCACTTCCCGCCCGCCACGACACAGGAGCCTGCAGTTCCCGCGTGGCCAGGGTGGACGCTCTGGTGAGGGCCTCACACACTCATCTAGACACAAAGGGCAGACGTGGCGCGTGCTCTGCTGTTTCTCCACGTCCCGCTGGCCAACGCTGCTCCACACTCATCTGCATCGTCTGGCCTGACCCCCAGGCCTGCACCGACCACACGGGCCCAGAGCTCTCCGCGACCTCAGGCTGAAGGAAGAGCCAAACCCAGAAGCTGGCAGGCAGGGCCCAGGAGAGCCAGCCCCGTCGGTGCGCATGCGTCTGCGGCCACTCAGGGCCAGCCAGACGGGGCCTGAAGACCAGCCAGGAGGCCTGACCGCCTGTGGTGTGGAGCCATGAGAAGTCCGACAGTGGACGCCCTTGACCACTGACCACAATCAAGCCCGCTGGCCTGCATGTCCCTGGGTTTCTCAGGTGCCTGGAGTGGACACCAGGATGGATGGGGAAGAACCACAAGGCTCTGTCCCCACTAGGGACAGAGAAAAGCCTCACTATTGCCCCGCCTGGTGAGTGACAAGCACAGCCCTGACCACACAGCACAGACACCATGGAGTGACAGCTCGGGGACAGGGCCATCCCAATACCCCCAGGAACCCCAGGGCAATTAGGAACTGATGCCAGTTTTAACAAAGAATTTCTCCATTCAGGAAGCTCGAGAATGTGGACGCTTGTTCCATCTACAGCCATGGATGTCAACACAGACGCACACCCTGAGTGGCCACCGAGAGCCCACGTGGGCACATCGCAGGGCCCTGCACACACCAGGCAGCCTTGTGGGGAGGCTGAGGGGCAGGTTAGGGTCTTCCCCTCGTTATTCCTTACACCTTCTCGATGTGTGACTATTTTATAATAAACGCGGCTTTAAAACACAAGTCCCTCGACTTGACTCAGCTGGACGACACGGACACCTGGGAAGCTGCCCCGACCAGGACGGAGCAGGGGTCGGGGGTCGCGTGCCAGGGCAGGACCCACACACCTACCGTCAGCCGTGGCGGGCGTGAGCGGGATGTACTCAGCAGACGTGGGGCTGCTCAGGGACACGCGGGCCCCCGAGAGGTCGATCTTGGTGCTGCGACAGGTGTTGGAGCAGACTTTGTCGTGCTGGTAGAAGTCCAGCTCCCCCGAGTCCATGATCTTCCTGTGGCAGGACACAGGGACGGGGACCCAGGTGAGGTGGAGGCCCCAGACACCGCACCCAGCAACCCTGACCAGAGCTGGCCGCCAGGGCCAGGGCCAGCAGAGGGGCTCACTGGGGCCATCTCTCCCTGAACATAAAGCCCTGGGAACCCTCTGCAGATGGCTGACTGCAGGAAGGACGTAGACACGGCCAGTGGGCTGACCACAGTGACCAAGGGTAGCACGGCCCACCCACTTCGTGAGGAAGGTGAGAAACCATTTCCGGAAGAAGCCTTGTCCTCCTGTGGGCATGGACAGGGAAGGACCCTGAGCAAACCCAGAGACAGCTCCCGGCTGTGGCTCCTGCTGTCCTCAGCCCCGCTCCAGGGCCCCTCCCGCCTCTCCCCGAGCTCCTGGATTTAAGCTCAGCACCAATCTGCCAACCTGCTCTGAGCCAGGAACGGGGACGCGGCTGCGGCCTCGCGCGGCCTCCCGGCAGTGCCGGGCCACAGCGCTCCCACCAGCCACTCTGACAACACTAGGGCAGGCTTGGGGGGTTGGGCGGTGCATCTACCCAGGAACAAAGAGGCCAAGTCCATGCCACCTTCCCGGCCCCCAGACTGAGACTGCTCAGGGCTCAGAACGCGTGCCAGGACGGCCACTCAGCAGCCACGCGCTCTGCACACACAGCTCAGGGAAAAAGAAGGAAAAGGTCAGAATAAGAATCGCCTTGGGGGCCGGCGCCATGGCACACTTGGTTAATCCTCCGCCTGTGGTGCCGGCATCCCATATGGGCACCAGTTCAAGTCCCGGTTGCCCCTCTTCCAGTCCAGCTCTCTGCTGTGGCCCGGGAGGGCAGTGGAGGATGGCCCAGGTGTTTGGGCCCTGCACCCGCATGGGAGACCAGGAAGAAGCTCCTGGCTCCTGGCTTCGGATCAGCACAGCACCAGTCGTAGCGGCTATTTGGGGAGTGAACCAATGGAAAGACCTTTCTCTCTATCTCAGTGTCTATAACTCTACCTGTCAAATAAGTAAATAAATAAGAATCTTTTTTAAAAAAGAACAACCGTCTCGGGCACAGCCGGGTTTGCGCCAGCTCCACGCCCGAGCCCAGCCGCCTGCTGAAGCGCATCCTGGGTGGTGGCAGTGAGGACTCAGCCACTGGGGAACCCAGCCGGGTCTGGGCTCCCGACTGCAGCCTGGCTCGGCCGGTGGCTGTGGGCACCGGGGAGTGAGCTGGCTCACGGCAGAGTACTCTCTCTCTCACGGTCTATAACTCTACCTGTAAAAAAATCAAACAAGCGAAAAACCAAAAAACTATCCCCTTATCAAAAAAATGAGAAACAAAAAATAAAACCGAAAAATACAGCACCAGAAGCTATGCTCGCAGACCCTTAACTCCTGACACGAAAGAGCCCCAAGTGTCTCTGAGTGAAGAGCTGGGCTGACAACGGCTCCAGGAGCCCGCTCAGGCCTGGACGCGGGGCTGCGGGGCTGCGGGGCGTGCACTGGGAAGGCCGCTGCCCGGTGCAGACACCTGCAGCCCACACTGCAATACCCGGTTCAATCCCCAGTTCCTGCCAGTGTAGACCATGGGAGGCAGCAGGTGACAGCTCAAGTCGCTGGACCTCTGCCACCCACTCGGGACACCAGCCTTAGCCTGGCGCAGGCCCTGCCCCTGCGTGCACCCAGGGAGTGAAGCGGCAAGGAGAAACCCCCATCCGTCCCTGTCCCTGCTTCTCCAGCGAACACCACGGCGCGCCGTGCACTGTGCCGTGTGTGCCTGGAGCAGGCAGCCGCGGCCCACCTGAGCATGATGCCGTTCATGCGGATGGCCCTCTTCCAGTCCTTCAGCGTGGACTTGCCCGCCAGGTGCACAAACTCCTTTGGGCTGATCACGTGCTCGTCGTACTGTGGAGGGAAGCACAGCAGTGCAGGGCAGGCTGCGGCGGAGCCTCGGCTCACCCCACCCCGCCTGATGCCACGTGGTGTTCATGGCAGGGAAGAGGACCACAGCGTGGCTGGAGGACCTGCCTGCCCAAGCCACAGGCTCTGGGCTTGTCAGCTGCCCGCCGCGGGGCCTCTAAGCACCTGGGAAGGAAAACTGCCCACTCCACCTCGCTAAGCAAGCAATGCTGGGACTGAGCAGAGAACGTGAACCTGTGGAGGCGGGCGTGCTCGCGACAGCCGCCTCTGCGCCCTGCACACGGCACCCCAGGCCTCGGCAGTGGGGTCACAGCTGGGGTGACCACCTGGGGCAACCACCTGGGGCAACTCCTGGGGAGCACTGTCAGGGGCCATGGTCTCCCCGTTTCCTGTAAAGGGCGTCCCTTTACATGGTCTCCGTTTCCTGTGGAGGGGTCGTGGTCTCTGTGGCTCCTGTGGAGGGGGCGTGGTCTCCCTGTTTCCTGTGGGGGGGACATGGTCTCCCCATTTCCTGTGGTGGGGCGTGGTCTCCCGTTTCCTGTGGAGGGGGTGTGGTCTCCGTGGCTCCTGTGGAAGGGGTGTGGTCTCCCCATTTCCTGTGGAGGGGGCGTGGTCTCCCTGTTTCCTGTGGAGGGGGTGTGGTCTCCGTGGCTCCTGTGGAAGGGGTGTGGTCTTCCTGTTTCCTGTGGAGGGGGCGTGGTCTCCCCATTTCCTGTGGAGGGGGTGTGGTCTCCGTGGCTCCTGTGGAAGGGGTGTGGTCTTCCTGTTTCCTGTGGAGGGGGTGTGGTCTCCGTGGCTCCTGTGGAAGGGGTGTGGTCTCCCCATTTCCTGTGGTGGGGCGTGGTCTCCCGTTTCCTGTGGAGGGGGTCTGGTCTCCGTGGCTCCTGTGGAAGGGGCGTGGTCTCCCGTTTCCTGTGGAGGGGATGTGGTCTCCCCGTTTCTTGTGGAAGGGGTGTGGTCTCCCTGTTTCCTGTGGAGGGGGTGTGGTCTCCGTGGCTCCTGTGGTGGGGTGTGGTCTCCCCGTTTCCTGTGGAGGGGGTGTGGTCTCCCCGTTTCCTGTGGAGGGATGTGGTCTCCCTGTTTCCTGTGGAGGAGGCGTGGTCTCCCGTTTCCTGTGGAGGGATGTGGTCTCCCCGTTTCCTGTGGAGGGATGTGGTCTCCCCGTTTCCTGTGGAAGGGGTCTGGTCTCCCCGTTTCCTGTGGAGGAGGCGTGGTCTCCCCGTTTCCTGTGGAGGGGGTGTGGTCTCCCCGTTTCCTGTGGAGGAGACGTTGTCTCTCCTGGTTTTCGAAGCAGTGGCATTACACAGAGAGAGGGACAGAGAGATCTTCCGTCAATCTGGTTTGCTCCTCAAATGGTTGTGACAACCAGGCTGAGCTGATCTGAAGCCAGGAGCCAGGAGCTTCTTCTGGGTCTCCCATGTGGGTGCAGGGGCCCAAGGACTTGGGCCGTCTTCCACTGCCTTCCCATGAGCATTAGCAGGGAGCTGGATCTGAAGTGGAGCAGCCAGGATGTCCATCTGGACACCAGCACCCCCGGTGGTGGCCCTGCCCACCACGCCACATTGCTGGCCCGTGCTGGCCATTTCACCTCGTGGGTTGGGACAGCTGCATCCCCCAACAGGCCTGTGTTCAACTCCCAGGCTCCGCTCCCACCTGCAGCCCCTGCAATGCAGACCACAGGAGGCAGCAGTGACAGCTCAGGCACTGGGGCCCCTGCCACTCTCATGGAGAACCAGGACTGCGCTCCTGGATCCCAGCTTCGGTCCAGCCCAGCCCCAGTGGCTGCAGTCATCTGGGCAGTGAATCCACGGAGCGGTCTACCTGTCTGCCTCGCACATAAAAAAAATTTTAAAGGTTTATTTTATTTATTTGAAAGGCCTTACAGAGATGGAGGAAAGGGGAGAAGAAGAGGAGATGGAGGGGAAAGGGGGAGACAGAGAGAGAGGTCTTCCATCCTCTGGTTTACTCTCCAAATGGCTACAACAGCCAGAGCTGGCTGCACTGAGCCAGGAGCCAGGAGCTCCATCTGTGTCTCCACGCTGGGGCAGGGCCCGAGCACTCAGCATCCCCCCTGCCTTCCCGGCCGTCAGTGGGAGGACTGGAAGTGGGAGCTGAACTGGAAGTGTGGAAGTGGAGCGGCTGGGGCTTGAACAAGTGCTCATTGGGAAGCCAGCATCGATGTGGCAGGTCAACCCACCAGCCACAACACTGGCTCCTCAGATAAGTTTCTTTCAAAAAGAGTATCAGAACAGACATGTGGCATGGCGAGCTAAGCTGCCACGTGGGACATCCCCACTCCAAACTGAAGTGCCTGGTTGGGGTCCCAGCTACTCCACTTCCGATCCAGCTTCTTGCTAATGCTCACCCTGGGAGGCAGCAGGTGATGGCTCAAGTACTTGGGTCCCTGCCACCCCTGGGGGAGGCCTGATGGGGTTCTGTGCTCTCGGCTTTGGCTTGGTCCAACCCTGGACTTTTGGGGATTTGGGAGTGAACTGGTGCATGGAAGAGCTCTACCTGTTTCAATCTCTCTGTTGTCTTTCAAATAAAATTAAAATTTAATTTTAAAAAGGAAAAATGGGGCCAGTGCTGTGGTGTAGTAGGCTAAGCCTCTGCCTACAGTGCCGGCAGCCCATATGGGCGCCGGTTCAAGTCCTGGCTGCTCCACTTCCGACCCAGTTCCCTGCTGTGGCCTGGGAAAGCAGCGGAAGATGGCCCAAGTCCTTGGGCTCCTGCACTCGGTGGGAGACCTGGAAGAAGCTCCCGGCTTCAGATCGGCTCAGCTCCGCCTGCTGTGGTCATCTGGGGGTGAACCAGCAGGTGGAAGCTCTCTCTGACTCTCTGTGACTCTACCTCTCAAATAAGTGAATCTGCAAAAAAGAAAAAACGTGGGCATCCTTCAGCAACGACGGGGGAGACAACGCCCGCGTCCAGCCCAGCCTTCAGAACGACTTGCTGTGCGGTCATCCCCTCGCGGCACAGGGAGGACCGAGCTCCGCACTCCGGCGTCCACAGGGGCTCAGGGACGCATGGGCTGCTGGCCTGCTCCAGGGCCGTCTGTCCGGTGCAGCCGTTTCAGGCTCTCTGTCCCTGCTGCTCTAGGATTTCACCGATGCCATCGACAGCAAACTTCATTTGGCTTCTGACTTCCAACTGGACACCACTCCTGATTCCCCAGGAGGACAAGGCACGGCTAAGCAGCCCTCACACCTCCTCGTCTTCCCAGACCCAGCAGCAGCTCTGCCTGCCCTCCTGCCCTGGGCCCCACCAGACACGTGGTCACCCCTGAGCTGCCTGGCCGAGGGGCCTTCGGGCCCAGGAGCACCTTGAGCTACCTAAGAACGAGCTTCTTATGCCTGAGAACAGTTCACCGTCACCTAAGCCCGGTCAAGGACGGCCGCAGCCCACTCCTTCTGGTGCCGGACCTGGTCCACGAGAGGGGCTCCTGGCACTAGAGCGGCTGGCTGGACACTGCAGCATGCGCGCGGGCATCAGGTCTTCAGTGAGCAGGGGCAGGCGACGCACTGGACAGGAGCACCACAGGAGCTCCCATCGGAGTTCTCAGCAGGGCCCCGTGATTTAGGAGCCAGACCCCAGCAACCACGGGCGCAGCCGGCCTCTCCCTGCACGGAGCGCACACGGCCGTCTTTGTCTCTGCGGGCTGCGATGCGTGACGCTCGTCCTTTCGTCCGTGCTGAGCTGCACTGGCCAGGTCTCTGGCGGGGCGGCTGCTCTCAGCCCCTTCTGTCCTCGTGGCTCAGACGTGTCAGACCTCCTCTCACCTCGGGGCTGTTTTCCAGCTAAGTCCTTTAGTCCCAGCCTGCTGGTGCCCACCTCGCCCTGGCTGTGTCACCACGCTTCCCCCTTGCTCAGGCCTCGGCCTGGACACAAATCACATGTCAGCATGTCGCCGTCTGCGCCCCAAGGTTCCTGCGGCCTGACTTGCTGTCCACCATGGCTGTCCGTCTGCCGAGAGCTGTTCCTGCCCTTGGAATGTCGTGGAAACCGCCTGGACCTTGAGATGGACTCAGAGGCTGCTCACGCCGTGCTGGGCTGCCGGCAGTGAGCCCTTCCAGGGGCCGCGGTGAGGCTGCTGCACGTGACCAGTAGCCCCCAGGAGTGCCACCTTCAGCGGGATGGTCCCACCCTGGGGGCCCTGGATCCCAGCCCTGCAAGGCAGGAAACACCCACACCTCCCACAGTGGGCAGGCCACAGTGTAAAAGCTCCCAGTCCTACCCTCACTGGGGCCTTCCTTGGGCCTCAGGACGCTGCCTCGGGCGTCCGCTGAAGGAGGCACTGTCAGCTGTTTCCACGTGGCGGGGCCCGGGTCCCTTTCCTTGTCTCACGCCCTGCCACTGACCACATTCTTAAACCACTCTGGTCACCCCCTGGCCGGACGTCGCAGCCCCAGCAGGCAGAGCTGCTTCTCGGCACCCCAGCTTCACCATGGTCAGAGCTCCTCGTCCCCCGAGGCCTGCCCCCACCTGCCCGCCCCTTACCTGGACACACTTAACGTTGATGCCAGGACACACGAACTTCCTCCAGATGAGGTTGGCCCTGCTGTCCCCGCAGGTGATGGGGTACACGATCTCAGCCTCCAGGTTCTCCCCCTCTTCGGCCATCTTCACTTCTCACCAGCGCAGTGACAGCGAGATGCAGACAGAACGTCAGTTACAACTCTGTAATGCCTCGGGCACACGGCTGCCAACCCGAGGGCGCCTGACACGAGGGTGGGCAGGGGACCTGCTCCCCTTCTGGGCCACAGTTCAGGTAAACACACGGGGAGACCTGATGGGCGACGGTCACCACAGCTCAGCGGCACAGTGGAGACCAATTCACACTTCACGTGGAAGAAAAGCCAGGGGAAGTTAAGGTTTTAGAAAGATTCTAGGGTCTTAATCTAAATGCGTGTTGTATAAAACTTCCCCACCACACACCAACGGTTGTAATAAATACTGATGGGCAAAGCCACAGGTGCAGAACCGGTGAGGAGGAAAAACCCAAAGGAGGAGGCGCTGCCAGGTTCAGGTTCCAGAGGCAGAGCTGTTGTTGGAGCTGTCACAGGGGGACCCCTGGCAGGGCCTGGTGGGCACACCGCTCGGGAACTTAATCATGGTGGCAGGCCCGTCTCGCCCGGCCCGGCCGCAGGCTTCCTACCTAACACGGCTTCCTTGAGCTGCGAGGAGGCTGTGAAGGCAGCAGCGGCCGCGGCGGCGGCATTCTCCGTCTCCATGTTATCTTCCGCCAGGTCCCCCCTGGAATGTGCGAGAAACACAGAAGAGCATTAGAATCTCCGAGGACGAGAGCTGAGGCCCCGCCCAGCCCCATGGAGCTGGCAGGTTCCGAACCCACCCAGGAGCCGCAGGGGCCGCAGGGGCCGGCTGGCGCAGCGTGAGGCTGCCCTCCTGAGCGCCCACCTTCCACTCTGCTCGCTCACGGCTGTGGCTCCCGCGCTGGAACAGCGCATGCAAGGGAGGGCAGCGGGAATTCCACACCTCCACTCCTTCAGTAATACCGTCTATTTCCACGACAATGACTGTGTGTTCACAGAAACAGTCAGAATACACGAAACTTTAGAAAAAAAAATTCCCATAGTCTAACATCATCTTACACCAAAATAAATTATTAAAAAAATCAAAATGTAAAGATAAAACGTGACACCAAAAAAGTGTGAAAGAATTTTCAAAAAGTGGTTTCAGGGACCCGTGCTGCAGTGGGTTAAGACGCGGCCTGTGATGTCAGAATCCCATATGGGCACTGGTTCCAGCCCCAGCTGCTCGGCTTCCAGTCCAGCTCCCTGACAAGACATCTAGGAAACAGCAGCAGATGGCCAAGTGCTCGGGCCCTGCACTGCCATGCAACTGCTGAACGAGCCCCTGGCTGTGGAACCTGGCTCAGTCCTAGCCACTGCTGTCATCTGGGGAAGAAACCAGCAGATGGAAGATCTTTAAAAAAAAAGTTCCAAGGTGGTAAAGTGGTTTTTTTAAATAAATAAGAAAGATGATTTGCTCTAAGAAAATACAAACCTCCAGGATGAGGGGAAAACAATATGAACCTTTTTAGAAAAAGATTCACTTGGCCGGCGCCGCGGCTCACTAGGCTAATCCCCCGCCTGCAACGCCAGCACCCTGGGTTCTAGTCCCGGTCGGGGCGCCGGATTCTGTCCCGGTTGCTCCTCTTCCAGTCCAGCTCTCTGCTGTGGCCCAGGAGTGCAGTGGGGGATGGCCCAAGTGCTTGGGCCCTGCACCCGCACGGGAGACCAGGAGGAAGCACCTGGCTCCTGGCTTCGGATCGGTGCAACGCCGGCTGTAGTGGCCATTTGGGGGGTGAATCAATGGATGGAAGACCTTTCTCTCTGTCTCTCTCACTGACTAACTCTGCCTGTCCAAACAAACAAACAAAAAAAAAGATTCACCTATTTGAAATAGAGTTACAGAGACAGAGAGAGAATCTTCCTGTAACTGGTTCACTCCCCAAATGGCCGCAAATGGTCCTGCCCGGTGCCCGGCACCCACAGGGCTCCCACATGTGCCTGCCGCTGGGAACCGCTGGAAGCAGGAAACCTGTTTTACCTCTGGACCTGAGAGGGGCGGCTTGGCGCTTGGGGAGGTCTGAGAGGGGCCCAGTGCACCCCCGGTGTGCTCACCCCAGGAAGGCACCTGCCGCATTCCCCTCCTCCCATCAGGCTCCAGGCCTCATCAACAGCACAGCATCAGCATCCTCACCAGAGGCCTGTGGGGCCTGGGGACCCAGGCAGGGGCGGCGGGAGCCCGTGACGGCACCTGCTCTGGAGAAGCCAGCCCTGGGAAGCTGATTCTCTGCATGCTGGGGCCAGGGCCGGGCGGCTGGTGCAGGGCTGAGCGCGGGGCCTGGAGCTCTCCCGAGTTTCCTCCCACCGCAGGGCTAAAGGCAGGGAAACCCTTTGGACCTTTAAGCAGCAGAGGGACCTGGTCAGATTTGTGTTTTATTCCAGGAGAGTGGAAGACGGATTCCAGGGGCGGGAAACTGAGCCGGGAAAGCAGGGGCAGGTGCAGGTGTGGACCTCAGCAGCAGAGGGCCACCCTGCAGACTCGCTGGCCTGGGAGAGGGGAGCAGAGCAGCACAGGGGCCAGTGAATCGGGGTGACTGTGGGATACTCACTGGCACCCAGTTTGGAGGTTTGGCGGAGGCACAGCCAGCACACAGACGTGACTGGACCCCGTGGCCAGCTCATGGAGGTGACAGGAACCCACTGTTCTCTTGTACTTCCTCTGGTCACTGCCCCAACTAAGTCTGCTGTTTCTGCACTCATGACAGACCAAACCACTGCCCACGTCCACTCTCAGGTCTAGCCCTGTGCGAGGTCCATGTTGCTGTGAGCATCAGCCTGCCCTCCTGGGAGAGGAAACAGCTCTGCACGCCTGGCAGGGGCAGGCCGAGCCCAGCAGGGAGCCGGCGGGAAGGCAGGGATCCCGGGAAAGGCAGGCATCGGCCATGCGAGATGTCTCGAGCCCCAGGAGGCCTCCAGAGACAGGGAGTCCACAGTGACAAAGACAGCGTGGGCAGTGACACACGGCCGCAAACACCCGGAGTGCCAGAGCCTCCTGGGAAGGATCACGGGCACTGGGGCTGCGGACAGGAGAGGCAGTGGACAAAGGGGCCTGGTCAGAGGGGTCGGGAGAGGACGGTGGCCATGGGGACTGCAAAGGCAGTGCTCAGGCCCCCTCTCAGCCTCCGGCACCTGCACGTCTCACAGCAGGCCTTCGGCGGCAAGCTCTGCGGGGCCTGCCCTTGGAGGGCCTCACTGCCACAGCTCAGAGGGCAGGCCCCAAGCAGCACGCGCAGAGCCAGGACTCCTGCCCGTCCCCGGGCGGCACGCGCAGAGCCAGGAGGACTCCTGCCCGTCCCCGGGCGGCACGCGCAGAGCCAGGAGGACTCCTGCCCATTCCCGGGCGGCACGCGCAGAGCCAGGAGGACTCCTGCCCATTCCCGGGCGGCACGCGCAGAGCCAGGAGGACTCCTGCCCATTCCCGGGCGGCACGCGCAGAGCCAGGAGGACTCCTGCCCCTCCCCGGGCGGCACGCGCAGAGCCAGGACTCCTGCCCGTCCCCGGGCGGCACGCGCAGAGCCAGGACTCCTGCCCATCCCCAGGCACCTGAACATGCAGCCCCAGTCTCTAACCTTTATTCCACTTAAGCTGAGTCCAAAAGAGGCCTAAAAATGCAAGCCTGGGGCCAGCGCTGTGGCAGGTAAAGCCCCCACCTGCAGTGCCGGCATACCATATGGGCGCCAGTTCGAGTCCGGCAGTTCCACTTCTGATCCAGCTCTCTGCTATGGCCTGGAAAAGCAGTGGAGGATGGTCCAAGTCCTTGGGCCCCTGCACCCACGTGGGAGACCCGGAAGAAGCTCCAGGCTCCCGGCTTTGGATTGGCCCAGCTCTGGCAGTTGCAGCCATCTGGGGAGTGAACCAGCAGATGGAAGACCTCCGTCTCTCTCTCTCTCTCTCTCTCTCTGCCTCTGCCTGTCTGCCTTTCAGATAATAAATAAATCTTTTTTTTTTTTAAAATGCAAACACGGAGTCAGGCTTCGGGCAATTCTTCTACAAGGGACAAAACAAAGTGTGGCCGTGCGCACAACTCTGTCCCTCCAGCTAGAACCGAGGGGCAGAGCAGCAACACGGGCACCACCATGAGATGGCCACAGACAGGGTCTGGGAGGAAGGAGTCACAGGCGACCAGGCAAAGCCCACCCCAGGTCAGGAGCAAGTATGGGGCCAGCGTCCTTGAGAAGTTGGCCTAAGGCCACTGGAGGCTGCACAGGCCAGGACAGGGCTCCCCCCCCGCGCTTCTCCACACTGACCACCGCGCAGCCTGCCCATAGCACCTGCAGTCAGAGATCCTCTGCAAGACGACACCCACGCGACTCCCAGCTCTTGGGCGAGCTAATTAATTGGCATTCGCAGTTGGAAAATGTCCACTTCAATTAAAGCAAATGTTTGCATGCATTCTTGCTGTGGCCCCACCTGGGACCAGCATGAGGGGCACTCCCACGCCCACCGGGTCAACAGCCAGAAGAGCAGCACAGCCCACAGAGCAATTCACTAGCTCCTCCCCCAAACTTTTTAAAAACACAGCAGGAGTAAATCTCAAGTCAACCTCAGACCCCTCCGGGTACACCTGCTGCAGGACCACACTCTGCACCTCCATGGCTGGGTGACTTCCCGCCCCCGCTCGACTCTGGCCTGTCCACCAGCTGGAACTTCTGTCCTGTAGGTGTCCTGGGGGCTGGCCACCTGTGGGGAGCTCCAGGTGCTAACAACCCAGGACAGAGAGAGCTCCAGACCCTGGGGAGGTCCAGCAGCTAGGCCCCTACCAATTATTCATCACAAGAAATGATGCACAAGTTTGTCCTGGTCTGATTCCTGGGCGATCTAGGCTTGGGGTGTGGTCCAGGTCTGGGTGTGGGGTGTGGTCCGGGTGCAGGGTATGGTGGGGTGTGGTCTGGGTCCAGGGTGTGGTCTGGGTCTGGGTGTGGGGTGTGGTCCGGGTGCAGGGTGTGGTGGGGTGTGGTCTGGAGTTTGGGGTATGGTCTGGGTCTGGGTGTAGTCCAGGTCTGGGTCTGGGTGTGGGTGGGGTCTGGGTCCAGGGTATGGTGTGGTGTGGTGTGGGTCTTGGGTGTGGGGTATGGTCCAGGTCCAGGGTATGATGTGGTGTGGTCCGGGCCTGGGGTGGGGTCCGGATCTGGGGTGTGGTCTGGAGTTTGGGGTGTGGTCCGAGTCTGGGTGTGAGGTGGGGTGTAGTCTGGGTCCAGGGTGTGGTGTGGTATGGTCTGGGGTGGGGTCTGGGTCTTGGGTGTGGTCTTGATCTGGGGTATGGTCTGAGTCTGGGTGTGGTCTGGGTCCAGGGTGTGGTCTGGAGTTTGGGGTGTGGTCTAGGTCTGGGTGTGGGGTATAGTCTGGGTCCAGGGTGTGGTATGGTATGGTCTGGGGTGCAGTCTGGGTGTCAGGTGGGGTGTGGTCTGGGTCCAGGGTGTGGTCTGGGTCTGGGTGTGGGGTGGGGTGTAGTCTGGATCTGGGGTGTGGTCCAGGTCTGGGTCTGAGGTCTGGTGTGGGGTGGGTTATGGTGTCGTCTGGGGTATGGGGTGGGGTCTGGCCTGGGTCTGGGGTGGATGTGGTCTGCGGTGGGGTCCAGGTCCAAGGTGTGGTCTGGGGTCTGGTCCGGGTCCAGGGTGTGGTCTGGGGTCTGGTCTAGGTCTGGAGTGGGTGTGATCTGGCGTC